TCATTCCTACCCCTAAATGCTAAAACTTTAACGTGACGGATGAAGCACATGTGCCGTGAACGGGTAATCTGTGACAACCCCAAAACAGAAGGGTTGAAGATGATGCTCACCTTCGGCACCTACGCCAGTGCGATACTGGCCCTGAACTAACCGGAAAAGGTCGCTACAGAGCTTTCTACGGAACTTGTTTGAAGGTGTCAGCTAAATGGACACACGGCACTCCCTACTCCACCACCTCTCCACTAGCTGAATGGACCCCAGAGGGATAGATAGGACTGGGCAGCATAGAAGCAAGAACAAAGTGGCAAGGAGGAACAGACGCAAAACTTCATCTCCACCAAACCATCTTGAGGCCCTTCCTTTGTTAAATAACTCTAGTTTAGGGTTAGCGTTTTTGCCACTCGGAATAGATAATATGAGATAGTCAGCACATCGCCCTTCCCTCAATACAATTCCTGAACAGGACGGAGCTCTCTAGATCCAGTGGAATTTTCAAGAGGGATCAGCAACGTTACAGTCCGTTATCTCCTCAGGTGCACGCGAATTCGGTGGCCGGCCCAGGTGGTACTTTTCTCACAGCACCGACTACATAGCGATGACCGAAGCGGAAGGCTGACCAGGGGAGGCTATACCATACTTGGACTGCTTGTTTAACTCCTCCTTTTAGATTCTCGGACACCTTATGCCCCGCAGATTGTGCTTTTACTGGGCGGTGTGACTTTCAGGGCATGCTGGTAGCCTCTCAGTCCTTCACTAAGTCGGCAATACATATGCCGCCCAAGTATTGTGCCTCCTGTCGTCTTTAGGGAAGTCTTAAGGTGTTACAGATATGCCATTTAAAACTAGTGCCATTAACTTAGATAAAGAATTAAAGTCCTAACAACACTCTCGTGAAGCCATTCTATTGGCTGACCAGGTAGGGAACCAACCAGTACCCTTGTTTACTTTTCTGGAAAGGCATTTAAAAGTACAATCTGTCAGGAGCCATAGCCGCGTTTTTAATTAACAGGTGTCATGATCGGAAGTTCGGGAACAATTGTCCCAGGATTTCACAGTGAGAAAGGGAAATTCTGATTGGCAAGGTCATTTGTTCTCTAGATGTGTCCATGCCGAAATAGAAAGGCATCGCCATGCCTTCAGGAGGATGGTGAAATAACGCGGAGAAGAGGATCTTCCACATCGTTCGACGATGAACTACTACTACTACAATGCCTTTTCAACATTCCCTTCACAATGATTGACAGGTGAAATGAGGTCTGTGCATTCACTCTGCTTTCAGAGAATCCAGACGCACTACTCCCTCCAGTAGTGGACACGTGACCTTTGATATGCACTGAACTTAACCTCGTTGAAAATGACCCCTCAAATGTCCTAATAATCTAGAAGTAGCTGGGCCAATTACCCGAGGTCATAGCGGCGACTTTTTAGTAAGATCGGTTGAGGGCAAAGGACATCAGACTTTACTGAAGGCTAGAGGGAGAGGGGGGGGGGAAGGGGAAGGACTTCACCAGAGGGAACTGGAGCTGGCGCACCATCACTCCCCACTACATGGATCGAACTGGAAGGTCGGTCAAAACCTATGATGGCCGTTCTAGACAAAACGGCCCCCGTTCCACCCACAATTATCGGATAAAAAAACTCTCCGTAAAAACTTAACAATTTTAACACGGCTGAAGTTGAAGCAGTAGCTGATGGAGTAGACAGATACATGAGGGATAAACGAGTGCAATGAAGTAGATGGCCCATCTCATTTCAAGTGGCTGACCTAAGAAGGAGACCTTGCTTGGAGGAAGCAAGGTATCCACCCCCCCCCCCTTGCGCGTGGATAGCTGAGAGAGGAGACTTACAGAAATCCTCGGATGAAGCAGTAGCCTCAGTCGCCTCCTCCTCGGAGCGATCACTGTGAGGGGAGAGTTGCAGCGGGACGGACTAAAAAGTAGAGTTGACAGTGCTAGCCAATAGTTCAAGGCGGGATTTCTGCCGAACATGGAGCCTTCTTGATGAAGACCGAATGCATTCAACTACTGGTGTTAATGCGTCAGCTGTGCTACTGTCTACGACTACGATGGTGAAGAGAGAAGTACAACGACTGAAAGCAACAAAGTACAACGCGAGGCAAGTAGTCTCGTGGTTCTGATCGCACCACATTTGTCACGAAATTTCTGTCCTGTGTAATCACAATAAAGTTGCTCCAAGACTGACCAATATTGTCTGACCGGGTTCATTGGAAAAGCCCCTGGAGTCCTGTTCATATTATACTTAAGCAACTAGTTCCTTGGCCTCCTTGCGCGCCTGCTTCCGCACTTCCATGCTTTCTAGATTCCTCGGGAGAAACCCCAGTCTGGTGACGTATTCTCAGGACTTGTACACTTTGTGAGAACTCGCATCTATGCTGAGGATAATTGAATCTGGAGGTATCTACAGGGGAGCAGCTACTGGAATCGCATCAACTTACATTGAGTAGAAGAATAACCACTAAGAACAATGCAGTCGACGCTCAAAAGCATACTTTTCACCTAGGTTTTAGCTTATGTTCGTGCTTCTGGACTCGCATGGCCTACGCCCCATTTAGAGATAATTCCGACACCGCAACGAACAGCGAGGGATGACTAAGCAACTTACTCTGGCTAGAGAGGAGGTAAAAGGGGAGAAGTCGATGGATTTTGTCCGCCTCGGATCAGTGGGGACATTCACTTGACTCTTTGGTGGAGGAAGGGTGTTTGAGTCAATTGCCACGACACCTGAGGCCTGGTTGCTCGTGGAAGCACCGGATAGGCGAATGTACCGACACTTGCCTAGATAAGGACTCTCGTCCACCGTGACGTTGCTAGTGTTGCGAGCCTAGGAAACACCGAAGCCGCTACTTAATTGGGAATTCAGTAGATGGCCACGTGACATGTAATCACCTTTAACTCAACTGACAATACTATTAAAATCCGTTTGCCTCAGGTGATTGTTTCATGGATCACATTATTTGTAACTGTGACAGCATTGTCAGGTGTTTAAGGACACCCGCTCTAATAGGGAAAAGTGGTCAATCAAAAATACACAGACGGACTGCTGCTACTATTCTACATTGTGACGATGAAGGGGAATACAATTTGCGCTGAAAAGCCCCTACAACGCAAGAATTTGTGCAGCAATTCACTGTCAACGGAATTGGAAGTTTTATCGTTTTGATGTGGCGAAATCGCATTATCGTGATTCCTGTATCCCAATCTACTACAATCCCCTACTTTTGGGGGTAACTCCGGAGATAAAAGACTGAATAACCCCCTATGATACGCTGGTGAAACTGCCGGCAGAATCCCAGTCCGAGAGAGCCAAACAACCAATCTACAGGCTATGTGTGGTGCAACGATGGGTGTACACGGAAGCTGCTTGCGAGAACATGCTACTAGATCCAGATTTGCACACGCGCGCACGGACACAATAGCATGACCCAGGGGGGAGGTTGATTTTATCTTCACGAAACCGCACGCGAGAATGCAACCGCACGGGGCGTAAAGTTGCGCCGCGTTTGTTCTAAACTGGTTGATGCTGTACGTATACGCATGTGAGAGTGGACTAGCGCGCACCCACACACACAGATGGCCAAACAAAAACGGACAGACGGGGGACAGGCCATACAACGACTGGAAGACTATTGATCCGTACTGCGCGCGCTACTGTCCCGTGGCCTTGAGACCAGCCAATCACATAGATGGCATGCTTGATCTCGATTAGCACGCATCACTTCGAGCGGGAATACGGAGCTTGTTACCGCGATTCTGCCTGAAAAGATGACCATCCACCTATTCTCAATAAACGGTACCTGCAAATGAGAGACGAAGTCTTGTGCTTTAGAGGAACCCACATTAGTGCCTCGACAACGACTAGGTGAGTACGGAATGACGGTGCTTGAAACGACACAAAGTAAAATGGTGTGTGTCACCGGCCCCAAATGGCACATGTGCAGTCACGCGTCGTCGTGCCTCGAGGATGAGTCATAGGCAGTAGCGGACGTTGACTAATCCAGGGGCCGCAGACTCGGGTAGACAACCGGCAGATCATACAGGTGAAGGCGACATTTGTAGGCGTGACTTGAAATTAGGGAATTCCGTGTTCGTATACAGGCAGGCGAAGTTAAATATAGGCAGAAGTGCAAGGCGTGGAGGGGGTGGTAAACAACAAGTGTGCAAGTGTACGACCACGGGAAAGTGATTTATGCCGGGCTCTGACATTGAATTCAGCTCCCTTTTAAAAGGCGACGTTTTTGGCTGCGCGTCCACCAATGAGATCAATAGGCCTCCATCAATGGTGTTCAGCCATTACCTTCTGACCTGATGAGTAATTGGGTGGGAAGAAAGTGGTGCAATCATGTCGTGTCGATGTGTTGGGGGCTAAATGGTACGTAGCATTACCCAGCTTCCAACCCAGTGGTACTTCTAGCTCCTAAGGCTTCGTTTCACGGCCTGAAAAGGACATAAAAGATTCTTCACCAGATTTGCCCCAGAGGGTTAAAAAGCGGGCAAAGTAGCAGTGCCAGGCATACAACCTGGATCAGGAGGGAGGAGGCAGACCTGTGGACTTGTTTTTGTCACCTTAACGAGGAAGCACTTCAAAGGTGAAAGTTTACTTTCTCCAAACCGAGGTCAGACTTTGCCCGAATTGGTTCATTTCAAGCATGCCGTCAGTTGCTTGCTGATGTTATTGAATATCCCTATAAAGTTTGACAGGTGCTTTTTTACGACCTGCTTGCTTATCTGTACTTTAACACATCTTCACATCGAAATGTTTGAAAGCAGCTCTGAAGTGGAATAAGATAACGGCAGAAACGACTGAAAGTTCCATTTCCGTACATTTAGCCTGACCAGGTGATTTACGAAGCACACACCCACCACATGTCTCTTCATTCACAAGACTTATCTGCTCTTGTTGCTACTACTTCACAATAAGATTCAGGAGATCTCGTCTCAGATTCTCCAGAAAACTGCCGTTGAGGGTATTCTACATGCAATTCATGGGAGGCCATAAAAGGGATATGGAAAGGCTTCTAAAAGCATCAGATGTGAGGTGTTAGCGGCAGGAGGGAAAGGAGCCCCATTCTGGTCCTGATCAAGAATATAGCTGCCTAAATCGAGGGATTTATGATGACATTGCAAACGCACCACTGCCTGAGTATCCAACCGATGGTAGCCGCCTTCGCCACCGGCATTCACATCAGGCGGTTTTCCAAGGAAGGCTGCGAGTTTGGTATCTATTTTATAGAAGGCCAACTCCTGCTCTATTTCGTAATGCTTCAGACAGGCGCGCAGCAGTTCGTCCGACTTGGCACGAAGCTAAAGGACAAATCGAAAAACAAAACCCTCTTTGCCAAGGAATAAACCAGTATTTGGATCGTAAACAGCATTAGACACACTTCGGTGTCAAAGAATTCACAGACAGCCTCAAATTATAAAAGATTATTTTAACATTCTACGGCCAGATGTGACAACGAACGTTAAAAAGGTTTAGAGTCGTTCAGCAAACAATGATCTCGACCGTGTACTCTCATTAGCTATTGGCACATCACCTCTCCATCTATGTGGCGCCTAGGCAGGTTAGCCCGTATTTACCAGTTCATCCTTGACTGCAAGCTCCTTTCGCATTTCCTCCAGCCTCAGGTCCTGTTCAGCCTTTTGTCTGGCCAATCCTTCAGCGAGGGCCCCACGTCCCTCCGCCTCGATCGATAGGCGTGCCAAACAGTCCGAGAGGTCCGCCACCTCGGCCTCTCTCGATTCCAATTGACTGTTGATGCGCGATATCTCACCTAAAGTAAAGCAGCATTTGCTCAAAATACATCGAAGTTTTTTACTTAGATTTTAAAAGAAGAAGTCTTACTTTGCTCGAACCAACAATCAGCCTCTTTCCGCTCCTCAGGTACAACAATCTGGCCATCCAACAGTGTCAATGATCGCAGATGGAAGATTACGAAAGATCGACAGCACTGTTTGAAAACAGACTCCTGCTGGTCAGCAGCAGTGCTGAACTTTGAAGGGCAGATATAACTATAATGTGCGTTTCCTGGGTCGGTGGCTGGGTTGCCTTTTATCACAAGTTCCACTAGGTTCGGAAGACGGCGAAGCTTTGTCAGGCTATGAAGCTATTTTAGGAGCAATAGAGGGCATCGTCACATCTCAGACGCAAACGATTACACAGAAAAATAATACTTACGTTATCGATTCTATTGTAGCCTACTTGCAGAGACTTAAGAGAAACAAGACTGTGTTGAAACCATGAGGGGAAATCCTGCACCATGTTGTGATTAAGATAGAGTCTTTGGAGGTTTTTTAGGTTCTCTAACCCATTTAATCGCGACACACAATTGTGATTTAGGTTTAAGCACTTTAGTCGGGTAAGGCTTCTTAGGCCTTCGAGACTCTCGATGCCATTACCAGAGACATTGAGAACGGTGAGGTATTTGAGGCCTTCTAGATGTTCCAGGTACTAAAATTTACAATTCAAAACTGAAAAAGAGAAACTAACCACTATTTTGTATGGTGCGGTAACATTTGCCGTCAGGCAAAGGTGGTGAACAGTAGATAAGTCCTGTGTTTTAGTGCAACGCCGCAAGAAGTCCTCGTTTATATACTGTACCGGAAATTCTAGAAACAAGCATTAGGGAAACCCAAAGTACTTTTTAAAGTTCTTGGCAAAGCGCTGAATGCATTTACATCTTTTGTTTCTGTCAGAGAGAGAGAAGACATGACTGAGAAAACGACCTGACTTATTTCAGAGAAGTCTCCGGACGGTACAATAGGGTTGAATTTTACTTGCGTTTGCGTAGCATGACTGTAAGGTGCATTTCGCTTTATTTCTTAAAAATGGAAAGTTCTGCATTGAAATTAGCAAAGGTTTGCTATACCCCATTGCAGACGGAAGAGAAATTTTGACCTAAATTAAAAAAAGAATCCAAAAATAAAGCGTGAATAAATGCCATAAGAAGGGTTACATTCATTTGATGGACAAAACGGCATGAAAAACTTTACCAAACCTTACTTTAAAACTCTAGAATGTTAATTATTTCCAACCTTGATTGCCATGGTTACATTTGTGGCGCATTTAATCTACAGGGAATGGAAAATGAGGAAGGTAAAACTGAACAACCGCAAGAACCCCCCATTGATCAAGTTCAAACAAAACAAGCACATCCTCCTCCTTTCAGTTTTTCTGAGACTTTACAACAGAAAACAACAGAGTCTTATATCCCTCCAGCGACTCGACGGTTCATTGCTGAAGATCTTACGCATAACCCAGATGTTGTTCCCTCGTTAGCTGACTTAGTTATTAAGCAAATCATTGAAAATTTTTCATGTGAGTTAAAGCAGCTGATATACTCCCACACTCAATTAGGTACTTCCGTACTTTAATAATTTAAGAATTCCAGGTTTCCTTAATAAGTGCGTTGTCAACCGCTGGAGCATAACTTTTAGAATGTAGAATCAGCCGCCTCTCTCTTCGTTCATAATTGACTGTCCGCCAGACTACCTTCTCCTCTCATTTAATCAGTTAATTACAGTGCCCTTCCACACCTCAACAAGGAGCAACTACAACACGTATTGGACGCTCTTCCAACGGATATTCCTCTGAGGGTCGTTGCACACACTATCTCTGATGAGGCCTTCTGGCAGCGCATGAGCCTCTCCCGCTGGCCCGTAGTCGATGTAGTTAAGCATGGAAATTCGTGGAAGTGCGCCTTCTTTGAGAAGTACCTTGAGCAAATGATCCACGAGTATGTGCCGGACCAGACCTATCCGGTGTGGATAGAGGAGGCGGTGCAATTCGGTGCAACATACGTCCGACGCCTCGATGTTAAAGAGCTTCTCCCACCGGAGAAATTTATGATAAGAAATACTAGGGTGAGCCGGATTATTCCGTAAATTAGGATTTCCCTATTTCACAAGGCGCCGCATCAGCCCTATCTTGTTTTAATTGCCCAAAACAACTCAATAATTCGCTTCTCTCCTTTCAGCGATCCGCCTTACCTACTACCTTCCTGAATAATGAACAGGGATCTCGAGATTTCGCAGTGGGCAAGAAAAAATCCGATGACTATAGCGACGACTTTGATGAGCAAGAAGACGAGGAGGGCGGCGGCGTCGGTGGTGCAGAGGGAGCATTCATTGGTGGAGTGGAGGAGGGAGGAAACGAAGGCACTGGCGCTGGCGGCGGTGGTGGTGAAGATGACGAGGAAGGTGAGATCACGGCCGCAGTGGACCACTTGGATTTGGGTCAAGTTATTGCAAAATTGGATCGATTGACACACCTTAGTGTGCAGTATCGTGTTCGCAATGTGGGCTTGGATTTTGAGTGGAGCCAATTTCAGTTCACTGGCCGTGATTGCGTCAGTTTCTCTAAGGCGATTCGGAATCACACCTCGTTGAGGATTCTGGAGTTGGTGAAGTGAGTTCCGATAGATTTGATGAATTTGAACTGTATTAATTGATGAACTTGACAGGGGAAAGCAGTTTGTCGGTCAAGATGACCGGATAGTAGCACCAAGACGGTGAAGTCCGATCCGACTTTGTCAGTAATATTAACGGCTTCTCTTCCTTGCACCCTTATAGCAGTCGCGTGGACTGTGAGAGATGCCGTGTGCTGGTTGGTCACCTCCTCGATCACCCCTCGCTGCTAGTGCTCAACCTCTCGCACAACATCATCTCCGATTGGGGCGCCCGAGCCCTGGGAAAACTAATCAACGGACGCAGCCGATTAGAATGCCTCGATTTGACAAACAATCGGGTGAACGCGGAGGGAGGTGAGGCACTGAGTCATGCGCTGTCAAAGGGTGCCGGCACCTTGATGAAACTCAACCTTCGTCTGAATTGCATTCGTGACGATGGCGCCAGCTCTATCGCTCGGGTGAGCAGAAACATGCTGCTAATGAAAAGTATTAAGTGCATTTAAAAACGACAAACTTATGGTCGACACTGCTACTAACAAAGCACTCAGTAGACGCAACGATGGGGCTTGTGAGGGTACACATTTAGACAGCATTTTTGACCACCACTAAACTGACTGCTATGGTCACGAAAGAACCATAGAAAAAGCTGGAAAAATATTGCTTTTTTTCATTGTGTCGCTTAAGTCTTTGCTGCGAAACACCACCCTGAGGGAGCTCAATCTGGCCGCCAACAGCATCGGTGATGCGGCGATCCTCGTCTTTGGTCAAGTTCTCACGCACAACTCGACCCTACAGAAATTGGATCTTTCCAATAACAGCATCAGCTCGGTGAGTTCAGATAGGATTTGAGATGAAAAAAGTGAACGCCAGTCGTGAATCACATATTTTGCCATTTTGAAGGAGGCAGGCAAAAAGTTCCAGGAGTGTATAGCCTCCAACCAGACCCTCACCTACTTGGACCTTCGTTTCACTGGAATCCCACAGGTCTTTGAATTCACTCTGCAACAGAACATCGAGGCCAATGATAATCGGTACCGTATGGAGCGGGAGAAAAATGCCGAGGTAAGAATAGGGAAAGTTAAGCAATTAGGCCACCAAAACAGTTCATGGCAACATTGTGCTATCTGCGGCACACGGTTCCACGCAGCCGCAGCCTAAAAGTGATTTCGTTTGTCTCGCCCTTCTAGACCAGCCACATGCCACTCCCGGGCCTGATCAGCGTGGCGGTGAACAAGGTGAAGTCGGATTTGGAGAAGACCAAGCCACGGCCTACCGTTTTCAGTCTCCAGTGAGCGCACCCACCCAGCATCCACGATCGCGTATTGTGATACACTCGCCTCCTTGTGCATAGAACAACGTCCACAGGTACACAGTTTGCATATAACCACCGAAATTATGCATTTCTCTTCATTTTTTTTCTAAGAAAGCAAGGAGGTTGAAGGGGAGGGGGGGTTGGGAAGGATGTCAGGAAGACAAGTAATAGAGACCTAATGAGAGGAGGGTAAGAAGTCACGATGTACACAGTGTAATGAGGGGGAATTATCACAAGATGAGGCTGATATATCCAGTCGATGAAGTGCCTACAAAGGAAGAGTGCGCTAAACTCACACTGATTGGCTGGTTTGAATACGGTCGATACGCAGGGACTGACCTAGAGGAGGGCGGGGGGCTTTGTACACATTTGATTGGTTTATTGGTGCGCCTCTGTTGCCCCGATTTGATGTTTCAGTCGTTCAATCTCCAGATTGGTTTGATGCTCAAGTAGCTGTCGCCTTGCCTGCTCCTTAACCAAAACATGCGAGTGTTAACAAATGCCGCGATGTTACTCTGTTATGAATTAACCGCGTTGTGCAAACCTGGAGGTTAAGGAGCCTATCATCAGAAGAGGATTGTGGGGTTATAGACGATCCCAAACCGGAAGAAGGTGGACGAACGTTTTTCGTGGAAGGGGGTTGGGGAGGCAGTGGGTGCAGTTGCTCCTCCCCAACGGATTCGGCACTCCCGCCCTGTGGCATTGCCAAATGCTAAATGGGCGACAGATGACAGGGACAGGATATCACCTCGTCTAAAATCATCTCCCCCACATACCGTGTGAGTGGTAGCAAACTTACTGGAACAGAAGAGAAGGATTTGAGGTGGGTGGTGGAAAACCCGTTCAATGGGGAGTGGAGATTTCGACGAACCAGCGACTCGATAGCGTCAAAATGCCGAAGCGCTGCATCGATTCCACCGGCGGTGGGGCTGGAGGCGGCCAATTCAGTCTTGATTGCAAACAGAGCTTCCTGCAGACGGCGCTCACGATCTGAAACCTCTTCACTGGCCGCTATCTGGAAGGTGCAGTAGGGGAGACGATAAAAATCAAAACCGTCGATGGCAATTGGAGCATCTCTAATTTAATTGGTGCTACTGGATTTTCCATCGAGAGTAGATCTGAAGTGTGTCCTATCAGTACTTGTGACAGCCAGCTCACACGTCGTGGGCCGGCTAGGTGGGATGACAGACGGCAGTGACACCGAGTGCGTGTACAGGCGCTCCAGAATTGTGCTTCAGAGGTAAGCAGAGAGGGGACAGAGAAGTGAGTGTGCATTGTGACAGGGGGTGAGGACAAAAACAACGACTGTCTGAGAATTAGCGGAGTGTGTGAAAGCTCAGTGTACAAGTTTTGTTTACGAATGTGCTTTGTCAAATTTACCACGAAAACCTCGTCCATCAGCGTGCCAAAAGTAGACACCTTGAACAAAAATCATTACTTAGACAAGATGCTACTGATGCCAAATAAGTAGGCGTCAGTAGAGAGCAGAACGCACCCTAGCCTGGAGGTAAGTGTAGTTTCGACGCAGGAGGGCCAGCTCTTCAGCAAACACACTTGCGCGATTACACTGCTCCTCGGCCACACGTTCAAGGTCGGCCAGTTCCTTGGCTGTGCGGCGTTTAAGCTTCTTGCAGGCACGTTGTGTTGCCTCCAATTGACTACGGGTTGTCGTCAGCTCTGAAACCAGCTGGCTGTGGTCCTCCATCAGCTTTGTTTTGTCACCGATAAGCACCTCAATTTCGTGTTCTGGAAAAATGAGGAAAAGTGCGTAGACGTTTTTAACGAAAACAAAATCTATAAGTCTCCTACCGCTCGCCAGTGAATGCCTGTACCAAGAATCTATCAGTAGTATCACTTTTCAATTGAAGCAAATAGCGACAAAACGCAGCGCCTTCAAAAAAAAAAATCGAGCAAGCTCAAACATGCCTCGCTGTCTCAGAAGACTCTCGAGTCCCTCCAGCCTCGAAACCACTGCGTCGATATCACCGTGGTTATGCTAAATGAAATTAAAACGTATTTCCAACTTTTTAGTGAATTAAAATTCACCATTTTGGGAAAAAAACGCACCCTTGGAAACTGCAGTTTCACCTGCATCTCCTTAAGTAATCTCTGTTTCTCACTTATCTCGCGAGCCAGCCTTTCGGATTCCACCGTTTGGGCAGCGATTGTCTACGGAACAAAAAGGTTGTTTGTTTATTTTGAGTCCAACAAATCAGCACAAACTAATAAGAGACAGAAAAGCGAACCGCGTTTAGAGCCTGAAGTTTTTCACCAGCCCGTGAGACCTTAGTGTTGGAATCGGATTTTTCCAGCCTCTGGTGGGCTGATGTGATTTGATCCCTGTAAAGTGAGCAAAGAAAGATATCGGTAGAAGAACTACGGTGGCGTTTTTAACTACGACTGAAGAAAGCGACTGACTCTAGATTCTGGAGTTCGTTGGATCCTGCCTGCAGTTGCTGTTTGAGTTGGGTCAGTTCCATCTTTGCGGTGGACCTCTCAGAGGCGATCTGCTGAGTGGAATTGAGCATTCGCTGAAGCTCCTTCTCCATCGCCACGATTCGAGACTCCGAAGAGGAGCATAGGTCGGAGATGAGTCTACATGTCAATTTGTGACCAATTTACTTACGTTTACGATACAACTTAGAATCACGAAAGCCTTTGAGCCAAAGTTATTGATACAGGCAATTTAATTCTATTTTTTTCGTAAGCGGTCGAGTTCGATATCACTTGTTTGGCCAAAAAGGAAGAAATTTGGCGATGAATCTGCAGGACATCTTCAGCTCATTTTCTGCACTAATCAAAGCCAGCGAAGCTCATTGGGCGACCCATTCAAAAACAGCGGTTAACCAGTAGAATCTTTAAACGCAGCAATGCCATAATTATCTTAAACGCTTTTATAACCTGTACCATGAAATCGTCCCCTCCTATAAATCCCACCCCTCCAAAAACATGCCTGATGAGTTTCACAAAAAGCTCATTTAAAAATGCCATTGCTAAAAAGCATCCATACCTCTCTAACATAAACCTTGTGATTACAATGTGGTTAAGCTAAAACAACAGCAGTTCTTCCATGAACAGTGGACACAATCGAATTAATCCAACACTCACCTCTGTTTCACCTCCACACTGGCCTCAAACGCCTCCAACTGGCCCTTCAACAACTCGCCCTTCTGCCGTGTTAGTGACAACTGAGCCTCTGCATTTTGTCGGCGGGTTTGGGCCAAGACCAACTCCTCTTTCGCCTCGGTTAGGGATTTTTCGAGTTGGGACACCTCCTCCCTCTGGCAATTGCAAAAGAAGGCGCGTTTCATTAGTGTTTACAGGCTAGCACCGTACAGGTAGTTTACAACTCTGGCGACCTACCTTCATCCTCCTCTGATCCTCCAACTTGGAAATCTCGTCTTTGTGACGACTAATGTCGGCTTGAAGGTTTTGCAAGCGCAGTGTTAATTCACTCACATCCCCACTGATTGTTGGAATGCCATCGGAGGTCTGAAAAAAGAAGACACATCTTGCTACCGAGGAAGCTTTGTGGAGGTAGCGAAATCAAGAAGCTTGAATTACTGGGTGCATAGAGGCGGTTCGTCGAGAGGACTGAAGCTCCGAGGCCATGCGGTCCCGTTCCTGACGAACAGAATACAACTCCTCCTAAAATTAACACGATACAGAAAGGTTTATTTGGCTTTGGGATACTAAGGGGAAGAACTGTCTGCCCAAGGACATCTCACCTTGGCAATGCTGAGCTCATCCAGCTTGAGCCGCAGCTCACGACGAGTTGCCTCCAGCTGCACATCAGCTAGGTGCGCCTCTTGAGCCTTCTTGGAACGAAGGAGCTCCAGTTCTGCTGTGCGAATGCCGATTTCTCTCGAGAGGGTCTCCATGCGAGCCCGAGCTTCTGCAACCTGTGAGGAGAGAGTGGAAAGCTGAACGGCCCTTTCAAGGGACGATGATGCCCATGAAGCAAGAGGACCTAACCTTCGGTTGCAATTGATCCAACTCGTAGCGCGGTGAGATAGAGTGACTACTGTCTGACCGTGGATTTCCATCACCCACGGAGGAAGCTTCTGTGGTGAAACCGGTGAACCTGCATAGAGAAAATGGAAGTATTTTCGAAGAAACGAATTTGAGCCGAGATCGCCTCGACCTCATCAGCCCACTTATTAGGAAGGCTACTTGTCAATCGCTCTCCAAAAAGATTTTTACGGAGTTCCGTGACTATAATCATCATCTAGATATGTAGGTAGGTAGACTTCGAACGACAAGAAGGAGGGGAACTAGCTGATATGGCAGGATGGAGATTGCTTACGCTTGAGAAGTTCTCTTCTGCGGATGCGAGCTTTTTTCCTCAACACGTCGAGAAATCGCCGCCAATTCTTCTTTCCGATGCTCCTTTTGTTGCTCCACGGCAGCAATCTGTGGTGGGGCAGGATATCACGGAGGATTAAAGTGGTCAGGATGACCTATTCGCTTCATCATATACATGCGGGGGAATAAACTCTTCCACCACTTACCTCCACTCTCAGAGCACCGAGGTGACTGGTCAGTTCTGCGATCTTTTCCTCAAGGTGTTGCGATTCTGCCCTTTGAGCTTCAACTTGGTCAGCTTGTCTACCAACACGGAAGGAGGGTGAAAGTCAGCTGAGCCGATCAAGGCGCCACGGAACCGGGACAAAAAAACCTCAACTTACGAGGAGCGCTCCGCAATCATCGACTTCACCTTGTCATTGGCGCGCAGCAGCTCCTCTTTGCTCGCAAGCAGCTCACTGGTCACTCGAGTTAGCTCGCCTTCGCGCTCCTGTGGAGATGGGAAAATATCCCATAATCGAGAGGCCATTAAGCCTAACACTGCATCGAAATAAATTACTATCTTAACAATAGAAAAAAAGGACGCATTAAAGGCATCTTCGTAAATCTGTAAAACAATTGAATAGGTAGGAACAGAGGTTATAAACAATGGCAGGCGGGTAAACGTTACCTTCAAGAGTTTTTGAAGTTCCAGTGAAGAAGTCCTCACTTCCTTCAGCTTCGCCTGCATAGTAAAGCAGCATACACAGAAACGTGGCACACTTAAGCCCTAATTAAGTAGTATGTGGGTGGTGGACAAGGCTCCAGTTACAGGAGGCAAAAGCGTAAGCCCGCCCTTGCTTCTTGCGTACTCCTCTCACCTTGCACCAACGGCACCCTCAAAACTGCGCTAATAATGGCGGCAGCAGTATCGCTTCCCGGTAGTCATGGTAGCCAAAATACATGTACACAACACCAATGAAAAGTAGAATGCCTGCAAATTGCCTACATATACGTCGTTTCAAATATTTGGAAGTGCTAGCGCTAGGCGTTACCGCCATTAGGCTGCAAGTGAGCTTGGAAATTCGGCCAAGGGGTTTGCCGTAAGATGCCGAGGGAATGAATAGCATTATCCGAGCCTGGCTACGTCTGCAAATCGTAAGGGAAATACACTGAGCTAAGTGAAGTCCTTCAGTCTCCCACGACCCGGTGCACACGGAGCGCTGTTTATGTCACCAAGGCTGCTGGCCTCCCAACCCATTCTACAAGCTGATAGCAAGGCTACATTCACGCTCATGCACCCTGTGACGACTCCAAGGTGTCCGAGCACCGAGCTATAACGATAGAGATGGAAAGCGTTTACTGTAGGTGGATGAAGAAGACTATCAAAATCGTGTCAAATTTTGGCAACAACCTCCAGATGTGAAGACTCCATGCCTACCCATCTGGAAGGCGCGTCAACTTACCCTCTTCTGTTGAAGTTGTTGACGTAGCTCGTCAGCGACTCCTTGAAGGTGTTGGAGATAGTCTTCCAAGTTGTGATGCTCAGTGACGTTGCAAAGCAACTTTCCTGACGGCACCACACGAACCATCTCGGTTACCTCACCCGCCGAGTTATCACAGACTGGAGGAGAGGAAAATGCGGAACATCAATTTTTCTAGTGGACCGTTTCAATGCCACGGCCAAAGCAGAAGCATAACAAGTGGGAATACCGTCGACGTTAATTTCACCCGACCATGTGGCCGCCTCTGGTTCTTCTGTATCATCATGATTAAGAACATTTCCTGTCCCCACACTTCCCATTTCGCATTTTTAAATTATCAGCAGCTTAGTTCTAGGCACTGGCAAACCCCATATGCTTCCGGTCTCAAAAATTGCCTAAATATTCCCTCGCCGCTTTGCCTGAGAGCAAAGCAGGCATGCTACCGCTAAATGCGACCACAATTTTATGGTTATAACAGGAAATTGCATAACATAATGCTGAAATACCTACTTCTTTCCGTTATAAAGGCTGCAAAAACAAAAGTTGGGCAACAGCCTACCTGGCGTGGTTTGGGTCAACCGATTGACAATTCCAGTCAGCTTCGAAAGTTCACGCTCCTGAGCTTTAAGGGTGCCTCGAACTTCCTCCAGGTCTCCGTTTTGACCGCTTTGATCTGTGCAAGGGGGGAAGAGAGAGATGGTACGTTAAAGACACTTAACTGACAGACGGAGCCCGTTCCACAATGGAAGGTAAAGAGGGAGCAAACATACCACGTGAGTGGTTGGGACTATCGCGCATCAACTTGTGCTGCAGCTCCAATATACAGTCTCGACATCTCCGCATCTCGGCCAGACCTTCGGAGAGTTGCTAAAATGATGGAGAAGTGGTGTGGATTAAACGCTCCACCTTATCGTTACGTTGCCTTATTCGGAGATTCAGTCCTATGAGGGTGCCGTAACGATCTGCTGGGGTGCAGCTGGATCCCAATGACCCGCTTTCCAATTGGTGCAGGGGTAAATCAATTGTTTCCTTACTTAAGATGGTCAACGCCATGAATTACTGTTTTTCATACGTCAATCCGTACTTGGATTAACAACGATACGTAACCCTCCATGATCAAGATTGGGGGAAGAGTGCCTTTTTGAATGCGAAAATACATCACGTGATGGTGAATGTTGCGTTCCACTTCTGTTTACTGCAATAAAAAAAGTTGACGATAAGCTTCCGCCGATTTCGATTCACATTAAACTGAGCTTGTCAAGCAGACAAACTTAATTCACATCCGTCAAGCACACACAATAGCCGTCTTTTGATACGAGAGTCAAAAATGAAGGAAAAACGTTCGGAAGCACAATGAAGAATACTGACAGGCCATCAAATCTCGCTAACCAGAAGCGCAACAGGCGCGCCCCACTGAGATCTGTGAGATAAAATCGTTATGGATGAAGTCGTAGCATGGTCGTCATCTCCGCCTTAAGTTTGACCTCAAGGCATTCGACTACCACCGTAATGGCTGACGAAGAGGAGAAGGATAATCAAAACACGGCAAACGGTACCATTCAAAGTCAAAGCATTTGCGCTTGACTATCAAGGCGTCAGGACTTTATGGGTTTGTAATGCAACAAACACTAAAATGATAAGTTATTCTCCCGTAAAAACCCATGCATAACGCCACGCGAAAAGATTCTGAATACATCCTCTAGTTATCGCGTTTTCCACTGGCGTCACCTATATGTGACATGTATCCATTGTCAGTCCATTACAACTATGCCCACACTAAATTGTACCACGTAACGATTGCTCGAGTCTACAATAAATGCAAGAAGTCTTTGTTTTGAAGAGGACTAAATTTACCCAGTTTTTGGTCTGTGTACTAATTGATCAGTTCGGCAGGCAAGTCCTGCTGTAATATCTGAACAATGAAGTTGAGTTGTAACGATCACATTTCCCTCTGTTAAAAAACACTACAAACGGCACAAAAATTAAACTGGTTAAATCCAAACTATATGCTACACTCGAGCGTGCCATTTAGACTAAACTCACAATCTGCCACCTCCTCTCCTCCGGACTATCTCGACGACCACGACTCCTCCTTAGTTCACTCTCCAGCACATTGATGTGTCGAATCGCCTCTTCTAACTATTCGCAAAAGAAAAAATTCTTTAGCGATAGCTTAAAAAGTGACATCACTGATAAGCGACTGGAATCTCAGCCTTACTCTCGAAGTATTTGCGTTCTCCGCATACTGCAGGCGATCGTGAAGGTCGTACAACTCACTTTGGAGTTTGTACAGTAATTGAACATCCAATGGTGTGTTGTCAGGCAACATTTCCATCGACTTTCCACGGTGTTTGAGATATCCTGTGGAGGCTCTATGAAGACTTCTCCGAATATCAACTGCCGATGCAGCTCCACGAATGCAAGCGTGGAACCTCTTGGTCGGAGTTTTGTTCTCACGATGTTGTGCTAATAGGGGAAGAAGTCGATGACAACTTCACCATTGAATAAGGAAATTATTTAAAAATATTTGATATGATTTCTCACTCTGTTCATACTCAGACGTGATCGAGCCCTCTGTGTGGTCACTTGGGTTCCAGGAGCAGGCTAGGTGGCTAAATTGTTCCTGTCGGAAGGATGGAGGTTTATTAGTTCGACGTTTTGCTGAAATGACGGGTCGTGATTGGCCATTGTGGGGCTCAGAAAAGGTCGATGCGAAATCAACATCATCGGAGGTCTTCTGTCTCGCGGCATCGTCAGAACCAGTCTGGGCAGAATAAAGTTATTTCCCATTAAAAACCACCTTTTTATTAGTCTGATAAAAATGAATTTGCTTCAACAACGCCAGAAAGTCCTAAACAGTTTGACTTGTGGCTGTTAAGTTGGGCGGCTAGTAGTAGGTGAGTCAGTGATGTTAACTCTACTTTCGACATAGAAAAGGGCGTGACTATTGTGGGAAAGGCGGTAGGGCTAATCTAAATATTCACGTGGAATAGCTCATGAATCCAGGCGTGCTATTTCTATTTCACCTCCTACTACAAATCCCAAGACCTCAAGATAGTCAATCTCCGACCTGACTTCACATTGGAGTGTCCAGGGCTGGACAGATGTCTTCCAAATTTGCGCAATATCTCTTGCGAAGCGTGATTCACCCACGCAGTGGGTCTGTTACTTTTTTACAGGAACGCCCTCTTCTCTGTCGTCATAGCAACAAAAATATCACAAGCGGGAGGTAACATCGAGCAAGCACACATCCAGATACACACATTAGCTGCTGAATCACGTCTGGGCCATATGCGAGACTCTAAACCAAATAAATTGACGTCTGATTAAAATATAGAATTCTTTCCTGTTCTTCCAAACTTCATGGAAGCAGAAATAATGCTTCACTAGTGATGAAGCATCACAAAAAGGATGTGACAAGTTTTTTGTTTTAAAAAATCAACCCATGGGTATAATGCCTACCCGACCCGTCTAGAAGCCGCTGATAACACTTTAGCTCCCAAAATTCCTTTAACCACTTAGATAACGTGCTACATGGACAACAGATTATGAAGCTCATAAATCCTGAGGTTAAGAAATCGAACCCAAACTTGGAATCTACCGGCGGGAGTGAAATCGGTTCAAATATAAATGCACGGATTGGGGTAAATTCAGCTTAAACCTCAAGCATGGTACAAATCATTTCATGTCTTCTAATTCGGAAAAATAAATATTAAATAAATGACCTAAATGAAGCGTCACCAGGCTTTCATTATAATTGAGTAAAAGGAGCCAAAATTTTGTAGTTTAAAACTTACAGACTCGTACCGAGAAATGTTCGGTCGTTTTTTTATAAAAAACACAAAAATTTCCACCTTTCTACAATCGCAGTTAATCATCCTAATGTGATACCACTTTAAAAGGAAAAAACGTCATTGTCCTTTTAAATCTATCGAGCCTCGCACTTGCGTTTAACATTGGAAGAAGGTTTATACCGACCCATTTTGAATTGCACAAAGTACAAAAAATTAATTTTTTCAAATTACTCGACAGTACTCACCATGTCAAAGTGCGTGAGCGAATCAAATGAAGGTGACAGTAGTCCATTTGGGCGTCGAGTGAACTAACTAGCCCCGTGGAATCTGGTGGCACTACTTATTGCATGGAGCAGGACAGACAGGCAGACGAGCAAGTGCGTGTGCGTGCACACCGTGAACGCACTCGCCTGTCTGTCCCACTAAAGCATTCGCGTACGCACGCAAGCATAAACCCACCCCGATTATCGACCAGGCTAATTGGGATAAATTAGAATATTTAGGCCAGTTGGAGTACAGGGGAAGCGAATTCGTATTATTATTGGACAATGCGATAATAGTAACACTTCTGGCAGGAGTCGTGCCTTTCACGCGAGAAGTGGGACCAAGTCTCGCCGGCCGACACACCAGTGGACCGAAAATCCCATACCACTTTACAGTTAGTGCCCCCGTTCCATAACCATTTTGCACAATATTAGAAAAAAAAAAATAGGCCCACCTCTGACGAAGGTCTAGTTCTTTCAGTCGACAGTCCCAAGACCGCGGCTTGAAGACGAGCCAGTTCCTTTTTCATCACCTTAAGATCATCTCCATTCGCCTAGGTAACAAAACACCACTCAACCGGGCCTTAAAATGAAGGGAGCTACCGGTTTTTATTTTTAATCTAAGGGTAAAAACTACCAACCTGCATTTTGACGTTAATACTTTCATTGGAATGTTGAGTGGGGGGCTTGCCCAATCGCTGTCTCGTCCTCTCCTGCCATTGGCGATGAATCATCTCCACGGCTGGGGAGTCCGTTTGACAACGGGAAGGGTTTCGAAGATGGTTCTGGCTGTTGATGGAGGCCTGGGTCGAGCTGTCCCTGCGTTGGGACGGGGTGTGCTCGACATGGGGTGCTGGGAGAGGGGGAATGAAACCAACTACTTAACGTATTTAAGTAAAGGGGACAAGCAAGTAGGTGCGGAACGCACAATCGGGAAGGGACTCGATACGACCGTCATCCAGACTACCTTCTTGGATGTCGTTGGAGCAGTGGTTGCCCGCCTCGATGCCGGAATCACACTGAATTCGCACAATAGAACGAGGATTGCATTTCTGCGGATGAAAAAATGTCCAGAATTGACACTGCTGTAGTGCGATGATTCCAGCCAGATGACAGTATGACACTGGAATAAATGCTACCTCTACTCAGTTCTGAAAGCCAGGCTTACTTAGTTCGCAGTCTCAGTAAACGCACCATAGCTTTACTACTCAGTAACTCAACAATGAAAATAAATCTCATCAAATGGAATTGGCTGTTTAACATCGTACAGGCGCAGTGATTCAATCAGGTGTTCTTTAGCTTTCAGTCCTTCGACAAAGATTTGTCTTAGAACATTTTACACCGAATTACCTCAATCATGCATAAAGAATTCCAGTCCTGTGTGTACTTAATAGAAAAAAGAAATGCACGAACCTGATTGCTGAGCGATGAGCGCGACCCGTTATGATTGATGGGTGGGTCTCGATACCACGAATCCTCGGTAAGCTCCTCTGGCTCCGGAGAGGTGCCAAAGAAAGGCATTGTAACGGTCCCACTGGCGGTAATCCTTCCTTTCAACGTGGAAGGCGCATGCGGGGAGACCATTTTCAGCGGAGTTGAGGTGAGGGGCATGCCGCGTTCCCGAGGTTCCTCCAATTGCTGCTGCTGCTCCTGATGCTGCGTCGACGCTTCAGCTGAAGAGGCAAAAGCAGAACAAGGGCAGATGCCAGGACGGCGCAAGCCTTCTTTTCGGACACGTGTACACATCTGATTCGTCAGTTGTGACTCATCACATGCGGAAATGGCCGCGCTTTGTTTAAATTAGGCGTTTGTGGCCGACTAACCAGCCACCCTGTCCCGTTCCTATTGGTCTGTGCCGCAGTCACCGATGCCATTGGCCTAAATCTCTTTCTTCATGGTAGAACGAGTGCAAAAGGCGTGGTGCTGGTATGTAAAGAATGGAATATGGCTTCCAGAGCTGAGAACTCGGAAGAGAAATCGTATGAGAAGTCGCCATTTCGTCCCTTCATTTATGCGTACTATGAATAAGTAGCTGATCCGAAGTTGTCTCTTCTACCGTATAGACAGGTGAAAGCTGATTTTTGGAAACAAAACACTGCCTTTGTATGACTTTGAGGGCGTGGAGCTCTTCTACGATTAAGTCAGTGCGATTGATGAAACGCTGTGGTGCGTAGAGTCGACTCGGCCGCGGGTAAGGACGTGTGTTGCGATTAGACTTGATATAAGTTTTCTGTGCGGCGGCATTAGTTTTTACTTCAGATCGGATTAGAGCATCCCAATTCGACCTGAATGCGAGATGGTTGGAATTCACAATTTCTGGCCAGCTCAGGCGCAGAAGACATCAGAAGCGGGCAATTTACAACCCTCACAACCGCAAAAACCGCATCGCAACAAAAAGACGATAATTTTGGTGTGCTTGAACCCTTCTCTAGCACCTTTAACAACTTATGTAGATGAAAATGCCCAGTTTAGTTGAGTGGGGTGAACAGGGTGGCTAGTCGCGGTGCTTTGAAGAGGGCTTCCGGGTTCTCAGGCCTACCGCCTCAGTCCCATAGGAATAGCAAAACAATGAAACAAACAGAATATGCTTATGAGGTCCTGGGGTGAATGCGTGATGACACCGACATGAGGTCAAGTCACATCCATTCGTAATCCACACAATCCCATTTTTGTTCCAATCAGTTAGGAACTTTGGCTTAACTCTTCTGAAGACTGTTCTTACTACTTTTCTTCAAACAAAAGGCAACAATACTAATTTGCATTCCCCCATCTGATAAAGATAAGTGAGTCCACGGGGGGAAAGCTACCTTTGATTGCCAAATTTAAGGACGCTGAAATACTGAGAGTAGCACATTTCAGTCCAACTAGCCATAGCGTTTTGAATTGGCAGCCTATTAATTACTTTGTCGCTTTAAAATGCTAAGGCTTACTCGATAAGGGCAGATTCAGAGGTGAATAAAACTGAACCATTTAAGGCGAGGACCTCTAGGGTCCGGGAAGCGCGTTACACATTACTGGTGCCTTTCAGTCGAAGGCGGTTCCAGGTGTGGATCGCATGGGCAAACCCTCATGCAAAAAGACATAATAAAGCAGTTAAGCGGATCAATGCATTTGCAATCCCGAAGGAATATAGAAACACCCCAAAAAGCGACAATGCTGTTAGTGGGACCATAAATTGAATTCTTTAAAATTATGAACAGCAGAAGAGCAGATGAATAAAGGGCCAAAAAAGGATTTCAAGTGCTAGAAGACACATGAATAAGATGATCAAACTTACCACAACGTTTCATATTAAAGACTTTCGAAAACTGCGAATTCAAATGCACAGAGAGAAGTCGTACAGAATTGCGCAAGCAGATGGACAGCTAACGACGCAATTACCTGGACCACGAGAGGTCGGCGAGGAACTGGCCAAGCCTTAGTTCATGAAAGTATGCTTCCGGGATTCATTAGTCTTGAATATGTCTTTTTGAAGTTAAAAAGAGACAGGCAAGATGTGTAGGAGAGATATGGGTCAGATTTTGCCACCTAATGAGTACTCTTGATCCGTCGATGATCCTTTGAGTAACAGATGGGTCAAACACATCAACAAGAGATGTTTCATTTTCAATCCTTAGCAAAGAATGACATTCATGACTCAAAACGACGCACAATTTCCACTAATTATAAGACAAGAACCCTTTCGTAAGAACTGAACCCTGCTTCCTACTACAAGGACTTATTCTATTAGAAGATTGCCACATTCTTCCACGCTAGTTTCCAAGTCTCCACCTGTATAATGGCTTTCCGTTTATGGTGTGCCTGTTTATCACTTCAGGAAGGCCTCTGGTCTCTAAAGTCAGCTACGAAGGCCGGCGTGGCCACCGTTGCTCTCAGTGCCAAAAAAATAAGGGGGCAGCGCAGCAACGACTGATTGAAACTTAGAAGGCATAATATATTAAGGTTAGCTTGAATAAGAGACATCTGTAAAAGGAGTAGAAATAAACCTTACTAGTAAAATTCCAAGTGATACATTTCATGCCGAATAATTATAGTGTGCTACTTAAATACCTACAAGTAGCAGTGTACCAACAAGCAAGTTCGACATGAATAACTTCTACTTTTTGGCAGGAAAAAGCATGCTCTCGATAACTTTAAACATCCGTTTGAGTAATGCAGCACAAACCTAACAGATCTTCACAATGAGACTCTTTATTGAACTTAACACCGTGTTACGCCTTCGGGACCATTACTGAGGAGGCGGTGACCACGAAGAAGACAGATCTTGACATGACGAATTCAAGGATTCTGCAGCTAATCGCAGAAGGATATCGTAACTTTACAAATCACTTAAAATAAGGGACTAGGTACTCAAGACGTAGGAACAACTCCCACCATGGAGATCGACGATGAGCATGACAATCAATCCACAAGGATTACATTTCTTTCCCAATCGTTTTACAGCAGTAAAGAGGTTTCAAGTTCCACCTAGCAGCACAGTGTTCCAAACACAGCACTTCCGTACTGGCATGGGTAAGATGACTCGGGTCACTGCATTGATGGCAGTGGCGAGCGATCCAAACCAAATCTAAATTTCACGGAGGATGGGTGGCTGAGGGTAAAGAGACTCACCACTTTCAGGTTCTACACAAGTTTCATCCCATTACCGCTGACCTCAAAGAGAGGTGTACTTTGTTTACCCGAAGGGAACAATGGATATCGTAATCTGATAAGCTCCCTTCTAATGCCGCTTTCGGGTAAACGTTACTGCGAAAGCGAGTAATAAACAAGGAATGCGCTCTCGGTAGAACATCGTCCAGGCTTTGAGAAAATCGGGAAATG